TGGTTGATGGTTGCTCTGGATCGAGGGTTTTGTTGCTACTTTAGGTTTGGCTGTCCGAGTGTGGAGCCATGGTGGCACCCGCTGTTAGTAAGCTTTGGAGCTGTGGATCTTTTGAGTCCGGTATCGAGACTGTTGACAATGACTCTGCGCAACCTGGCGACGAAGCCTTGCTGCTTGAACTCGAGGACCCCGAAGGGGCGATGTGCTATGCTCCTTGTTGCTTGCCTGTAGCTACCACCTCCCGTTGTTAGAGAATCCTCAGGATTTGCAAAAGCAGCTGGAGGCTGATGCTGTTCGGGCCTTACAAACCCACATTAGCCTTGTAAACCTGCAACCCTACAAACCCTGATCCCATGCCTCCACAAATCCCTAAATAAACCATGCCTTGAGGCCGAAGCTCTCCTTGCACCGGAAGAGCCAGAAGCTGCCACCCTCGAAGTGAAGTCCTGAGTTCGACTGATCAATGTAGATGACCCATGCTAGGCTCTATATGGGTGCCTTAAAAGCCATACTTGTACCTCTCACTGTTAAGGTGCCGTTCGATGATATCTTGAAAGCTGGGCTTTGCCGAGAACCTGAGCCCGTCGTGGAAGCTACCCCAAGCCCCCTACGTATGGGTGAACTTCCCTTTGAAGGTGATGAGCCGAACGAGGTCGAGGAGCCCACGGTTGCCGATCCCTATCTGGTGCAGGACAGTGTTCTCGTATAGATTTTCAGTGAGTTTCCATTCCGAATTCCATGTTGGTTGCGCACGAAGGGCTTCGTTGCTGAACTGAAAGCCCTATGCTCCTTTGCTACAGGATAGCGAGAGCGACGAAGAAGCAATGGACCATGCTTCTTGTCTACTTTTGTCGAGAATCAGAATCAAGTGTATCTTCGAATAGCTGTTGTGGCACTTGGATTGTTGAGGCTTCTCCAGACGATCTTCTTCGGCTGTTCACGAGCATGGTAGCCGGTGGCATGAGTGACGACGAGCACGACGATGCGACGTGCGCCGACACGCACGAGACCCTTGTGAAAGAGGAGGAAACCGATGAGCCAGCCAACAAGCCGAAGAAAGCGCCAACCCGGCAGGTGCTTTACGTTGCATGTTCCGTGCACACATCGCATCACTTGTTCATTGCTTGCTGTTTGTTTTCTTGTCTTAATGCACGCAAAACAAAACACCCATCGCAACCTCACTCCAGGAGAAGCTCTTGCGGGCGGCGAAGGCGAGAATCAACCGAATGTGCCAGGAGAAGTCAAGACGCAAGGATTTGCAGGCGCCGACGTGGTTGGTCAAGGAATGGCAGACCGGAAACAAAACGAGCATCGCAAGAGTTCTCCAAGAGGAGAACTTTGATAAAGTGATTCGCTTGCATTGACTCTTCATGTTCCTGTTCTGGACCTGGTACATTGCATAAACCCCAACCCAACCCTCAACTGCCCAGGAAAAGTTCATGGCCCGACTCGAAATCGTGGTCACGCGCAAGAACAGTGTTGACTTGGTGATAGAAGAGTCTTGGCTTACTCGCCAAGAGATGGCAGATGACCACGGCTGGTCGGAGCCTCCTGGATTCAATCTTTATCGAGCCTCGTGAAAATTAGGCCTTCTTATCTTAGAAATCATAATAAGCCATTATAGACCCAGATTGGCTCCAAAAGACCCCAAGCCAGCCATATTCTCAGGCAAAAGATCAAGGGTGCCATTCAGGATTGCGAGCTCAAAGCCAAAACCCACATCAGGCAGGCATGAGTGTCTGAATCTGCAAACCTCCGTCGTTGTTGCATTCCCTGTGCCAGAAAGAACCAGTATGACGGCGAGTTGGAGTACTGGGTTCGCATCAGAGAATCCGGCAAACGCAAATCCAGTGCCGAATATTCTGAGTGCCACCGTGAGCAGAAGGATGCCCCTTGAAATGCACCCATAAAGAAAATCATGTTGCTAGCCAGGTATCGTTTCTAGAAGTGGTGCAGCTCCTTGACCCAGGTGAAGGAGATGCCGAAGATGGAAAACCTGAATGGTTTTGGTGCAATCAACGGCTATGCGGCTCTGGAGAACTCGTCTCCGAAGAAGGGCGCCCCAGTGGACCCACATGTTCACAAGTATACCACGGCTGCTCGCAATAAAGCCTTAATTCGTGAACTCGTTCCTGTCGAAGCCTCAATTAAAACCCGAACCACACGTGCCTAAGGAAAAGGAGGCGCTGGAGAAGTTCATGGAATCCATGATGAGCAGAATCAGCAAACTACGCTCTTTGGTACGTGAGCTGAAGACCAAGTACAAAGACAGCGAAAAGCCCTTCGGCCAATATAGCTTTATATAAACATGATACACCCCGAACACATAAACCTAAACCCTGCAAACCCAGGAGTGTGACAAGCCTCGAAGTGGACATCAAGAACATGGAGAGCCACTACGACAAATGCCGGGACGCCAAGCTGAAAGCTGACATGTGCTTGAACGAGGAGTCTTTTGACATGCATTCATATCACTAGTTGTTCAAGGTTCTTCTCGATGCTCCGACAAGACTTTTGTGTGCCCTTACAACCCATTCGATTGGCACACGAAGGTTTTACAATGCAAGCCAGAAATGCATCAAGGATGCGACCCCAGTGTGCTGAACTCAACATACACATTGTACGGTCTCTGGTCTAAGCCTGCGAAGTTGCCACCATGTCATGCCCCAAATCATGTCGGTGCGAAGTTAAGGTGCTCACGAGCTGCATCAACCGAGATGAAGATCAGGACTCTGTTGGCCTGAAGCTAGATTAAACTAGATGAATCCTTTTGAAGCCAGCTGGTTGCAGGACTGCGAAGAAGTTCTACGACAAGGTTGACGATTCAGCCCCGGCAAAGTCGAACGGCAAGACTAAGGCTGAAGATTCAAGTGACAAGTCTCGGCCAGCCAAAAAGGCAAAGGCCAAGGCAAAGAAGTAGATCAGATGGATGCCTCGGAGTTCAGGGCATGCAGGGGTGAGCTGGAGATTCGAGCGAGCAAAGCTCGCGATGTTCGAAGCTTGTTGTTGTGGTTTGTGCCACAAATCCAAGGCGGCTTCCTTTGCTCCAGCAACATGCAATTAGCTTGAGACGGCTGCTGGGGAGACAAGGAGTTGATGATGAAAATGGTTGGTTCGCTTGCTGTAGATGCTTTGATTATACAGGCATAAGATCTGGGTTGTGCCCACCTTCTATAAACCTGAACTTAAAGCCAGAGACCGAAACCCCAACACTTTGTAAAACAACCTAATCAGAAAGAGCAGCCCTTGATCCTTTGAGAACCCAAGCGCTAAAACTCCGGTTGTGTTTTAATTTTTAAACTCCAACAGCTGGGGCTTCTGGTATGCAGCTGAATGTATTCAGAGGGTGGAGCTTTAAGTTTAAGGTTTTGGGTTTAACGGTTCGATGGAGGCACCCATTCAGTGACTTTTCTGACAGGGCCGCTCTATATATGTACCCATTATACTAACATAAGCACAGTTACCCTGTGGTTCCCGTGTTTATATTACCCAACCCAAGTGTCCAACCGAAGTTCCTACCAGGCCATCTCATCATGTGTCCGTGTGGTAATTCTGAAGCCAAAGACTTCATACCGAAAGCCCCAAGTAACCCAAACCCCCAACATGTTCCATAAGCAAACTGTGCACTTTCCATCGGTGTGGCAATCAAGCTTTGTATGACAGATTCTCCGTCGATCGATATCAACATAAATCCTTCTCGAAGCACAAAACAGAAATAGAACCAAGTCTCAAGCAAATGGCTTAAGATCCCAATTGCCGTAGAAAAACAATGCCAGGTCCTTCAGCTGGGCACTTCGTTCGTGGCCTCTCCCGAGATATTGGCGAAGGCGTAGGCGGCTCAGCAGTCGTCGGCAGCAGCGCTTTAATTATATGGCAGGCTGAGCTGTCTTGGTTGTGTGCTGATGCAATTCATTCTGCATCTTGATCTGTCTAGTGGTTCTGGGCTCTGAGGGCATTGCCAATAGTAGGTACAGAAGTTGCCTCGATGCATGAGTGCCCTGATCTAGTCGAGAGCCCCGAAGATGAGCTGCTAGATCTGCTGACGTGCCACCGCAAGGAGTCCAAACCCAATGGTAGCAACTTCTTGTTCGTTTCGATTCTACATAAATTATGAAGGCGGTTTGAAGTTGTACATAAGTATAAGCCAACATCATTTAGGACGACGTGGTTCCGTTCCCGTGGACAACCGCAACAGCTGCGAGCAAAAGCGATGATCCCAAAGGAGCTACAAAACCTTGCCCAGTCGGGCAGGAGTACCAGACCCGACTGGATTCCAAGGTAGATTTGGCTGCAGCTACCAGCATCAGCATCACGAGCATTTACGACAACAGCACAGGTGGTTCGGACAATCCAATCGTGTACAATCTGCCTCCAGTCGGCTGTTCGGCGGGTAAAGTTTTGCAACATGCGATTGTTACTATGGAAAAGCTTTTCCGGAAACACGAACCGATGATATGGAAGATTGGGTACACGCACAATGCTGATTTTCGCTGGTCGAACGACTTGTACGGCTATGCAAAGTCTCGGGACAAATGGACGTGTATGGTCGTCCTTTTCAAGACAAATGAACCGTTCAGCCCGGCAATGCTGGAGTCCGCCCTTATAGATAAGTTCCGTAGCATCATGCCTGCATCTTCATCATGTTTCCTTTTCTCTGTTTAGTATGTATATATACCGATAGTTAGAAGTAAAGATTGCCTCGTTTGTGTGAAGTTCGCATGTCAGGTCGAGCGGGGTGCAGGAATGTTAGAGCCGGTGGCGATACTGTTCAAACATCCATGCCTCGAGCAGAAGATCGCTTCATGACATATGTCGTGTACAGATCTTTCAAGTATCCCCCTCCGACAAGGTTTGTGTCTTGAGTTTTGTAAAGCCGATCCAATGTGCGACCGGGGCAAGCTTTACCTTGTGCTTCGGGGAACGAAAATGATTTCTGCATGCATCCGTTTCAGCGAATGTTCTGCAATTTAGAACATTAGCACATGTCAGTTTGCAGCAGTATGCCAGCCTCAACTGTGTTTATCTGGAACGAGCTGTTCGAAAACATTTCTGTGCCCGCCCAGGCTTCCTGCACGAGAGCCATCCGGACTGCGCAAGCAGTCGTCAAGGATCTGGGTGAGGAGAAGGCTGGCGAGATAGGTGGGCTGCTCCGGCTTTCGAAGTGCTCGACAAAGAACCCTGAAAGGGATGCTCATTCTGTATTGTCGAAGCGGCTGGGTTTAGCTCTTGATATTCCAATTCGGACAATTTCGGTGACAAGCGAAGAGTGCGAAGATTCTGATACAACGCATTTGGAAATTCAGAGGCTGTCCCTCGTTGACTGGGCTTCCCTTCTGCTGAAAACGAACACATGGCATATTCTTGCGGGCCTTTTGAAGCCTGATGCCAAACGTGAAAGATGCATATGGACAGCATTCTGGAAGGCCTACGAAACTCTTGAACCGGCTCACCCCGTTTTTGCGATGGCGCGAAGCAACCAGATCGACCTCAGTCGCACAGCGGCTGTTGTCCTACACGGCGACGAAGGACGAGGACGACGAAGACAGGCCTTTATGGTATTGTCGTTCCACTCGCTGTTGGGCAGAGGTACGAATAGTGCAAACAGGAAGTCCGTGAAGAAGCCTTATTTGAAGATGAAGCTGAATTACAAAGGACACACCTACTGTTCGAGGATGCTCGCAGGCGTACTTCCGAAGCGCTTGTACCAGGACAATGACGAGGTTTTCCAGGCCTTGTTGAGGGCAACGTGTGAGGATGCCCGCACCATGATTTCAGATGGAGTGCTGAGTAACACCGGAGATCGTCATTGGATTGCATGCTTGTCGACGGTCGGCGATTGGCCGTTTTTACAGAAGGCCGGCGGCTTGACACGCACTTTCAATAATGTGGTGAAGCGGGTTGATCAAGTTGCTTCTGGTATTTGTCACTGGTGCGACTGCGGTCCGGATTCCTTACCTTTCGAGCGTTTTTCTACAAGGCGACCGGATTGGATGGGAACTTTGTTTACCACTTCACCATTTCTTCAGTCGCCGGCTTCGTCAGTGATTCCCCATGCTCCTGGCAAACTCGCTTCCACTTTCCAGTTTGACCTTTTTCATAATTGGCACCTGGGAGTGGGGCGCAACTTTTCTGGAAGTGCCCTGGTGCTCCTAAGCGACTTGCATGATGGAAACGTGGAGGAACGTTTCGCTCAAGTGACCATTCAGTACAAAGACTGGTGCAAACGAACAGGTCACTCGCCAATCATGAGCAAGATCCACAAGGACAACATACAATGGGGTTCGACTTCCGAGTTTCCGACCGGGACGTGGTTTAAGGGCGGTGTCACGACGAACATGGTGCTTTTCTTCGAAGATTGCAAAGATTTGAGCGACGAGCCGCTGTTTCGACTCGCGATCCAGGCGGCCCAGGCGATCAATGAGTTTCTGAAGCTGCTGTATTCGTCGGACGTTTGGTTGCCTCCTGCGGTCGCTCGCCGAGCTGCTGAACTCTTGTTCAGGTTTCTCCGGAGATACGAAGCATGCGCAAGACTTGCATTTCAAGAAAGCCGGACTCTGTTCGTTTTGCAGCCGAAACTTCACACGTTGCAGCACGCAGCAGTGGTTCTGTTGCAACGGGCCAATGCAAGTTTGGAGGCTCTCAACCCTTTGGTCTTCGCTTCCCAAATGTCGGAGGACTTCGTGGGACGCCAGAGTCGCTTATCCAGACGGGTAGCGCCGCAGCAAGCGATCAAGAGAGTGATCGAACGGTACTTACAGGCGGCATACTCGGAGTTCGTGGCGTCTGGGTACTTCGTGCTGCCGGCGAGCTGAAAAAAGCGATCGGAAGTTTCGGAGACAGCATCAGAAGCATCAGCCAAATCCCGATTCCCACAAACCCGGGTTCTAGATGTCAGACCCTGTGTCTCAAACCTGAACCGACTTTTTAAGCGGGTCTAGGGGGTCTAGGTATGTGTGTGTGTATGTATTTGTTTGTATTCTTCATATTTTTATTTTATGTTTATTTATTTGTATTCATGTTTCTCTCTCTATATATATATATATGGATGGACATATATATATATATATACACACATGTGTATATATATATATATATATATATCCTCCCTTCCCTTCGCCTTGCTTCGGAAGGTTGACATGTATGTGCAGCTCATCCTTGGCGTCCTCATAACTTTCGAAGTTGCAGCTGCCGCTAAGGCGGCGCGACATGACTCCTTGCAGTCTGGTATTGCTGAACGTTTCTGCGTGCTCAGGTCTTATCCAACCAGCATCACACGATGGCAGCATGGTTCTACATGCTGACCCCAGCCCCTTGCATGCACCAATCCTGCCAGTCTTATCAAGCACGATGCATCTGAATGGAGCTTTCGATTCCTGACGGCCCTGTCGAGGTAACGACTATCCTCGTTGCAAGTCCAACTCTCAGTCAGCACCGTGACGCTCCGTGCTTTCGTGTCAAAGTCAACTGGATACAGTGCGCATTCCAGGCACCAACTACTTCGGCATCCTGGCTGCGAAGATACTTGCCATAACACTGAGAGCATGCACTGAACTTCAGTGCACAATTGCAGGTATGGAAGTCCTCCACAAGGAGTGGCTGCGTTGCGTATCTCCCATGTTGTCGTTAAGTCCGCTTTCGTATGCATCGATCATCCCGCATCAGTTGTGTAGAGGTGTGTCTATCCAGGCTCACCAACTGAAGTTGCCACGCGCCCGCATCAAATGCGTTCTGCTTTCTGCTGTCTGTGCCTCTACAGGAGCTCTTGACTGCAGCCGGTGCCGCAGCCCTAGCCAGACATGATTCAGAGCTGCTTGCATATGGCACAAGTGCTTCCATCTCTTTGTACATCGGTGGTGGCAACAGTGCAAGTTCAGCAGCGCGGCAGCAAGCCTGACGCTCGGGCAGCACAGGCATCTGCTAGTTGGAGGGGTCTGCATCCCGAGTTGTAAGTCTTGGAGCATCTGAACTCCACTCTCTCACCAAGAATCCGGCTAGAAACTACGTGCAGAGAAGGGCCACAGCGGTCCGACTTGGTCGGCCATAACCGTTCAGCATCGACTTGCGTTACAAAACTGGGCCCCCGCTCAGCAGCTGGCCAGGGGCAGAAAGGAGTCGGCACTCCAGACTGCGTGACGAGTAGGTAGAGTCCAAGTCAAGGATCCGGCCGTCGTTCTAGTCCCATCACACTCCCAGCGCTTTTGTGTGCACTAGCTGTCTTACCTCCAGAGTTGGAGTTCTCGAACTGAAACCTGAGGTTGGGGTTGGAGTTAACCCGATTCCACAACCTCGGGTTCGGGTTGTGCCCTCTGTCTATCCCTCGACCCGGCTTCGGGTTCAATGCCAACTCCGATGTGCAAGAAGGGGCCACGTAAAGTCTTCTTGTTTGTCATTTGTTTCCAAAAGACGTTGCAATCCTGATTAGTCTTGCAATCTTCGCTTTAAACCGCCTGCTCACAAGTCGAAACAGTGAGGGCACTTTTCGGTCACTTCGAAGCCTGCACATGCATCTAATCAATGTGTTTCTGGCATACAACAATTGATCGAAATTCCTGCCTTTCGCGCCTCATGGACAGCACATTACGTCAGTGTACAGCAGGAGCCACTGAGAGAAATCCGCGGCGAAGCTTCAAGTTTACATAGTGACATAGTAGCCCCTGTCAAGCATTTTCAAAATACAAGGAGCGTTTCTACGACCTTTCCGCGCTTCTGGTCACCCAGGTTGCATCCTTAGGTGGCATGATGGCCGTGCATGGCCCCTGGCCATCACTGGAGGTCGGAGAGATGAGTCAGTTGCTCGACAGTTGGATGACGGTGGCTCTCGCAGGGTCTTACAAGCCTGGAGTGGGCCTGTTTGGCCGTTGCTGGAGTCTGAGCCTGCTTTGCGCACAGAGTACAAGGCTCTGCCCACTGAAAGTCAAACAAAGTCGAAGACACAAGTGTTCAGTGTTCGTACAGACGTGCATACTGTCCTGCGCAACCTCATAGGGCCGCTTCACAACCACTTTTGCAAGCGGTACCGAGAATGCATTCGCAAGGTGTTCACCGTCGCACGGTGTCTCCTCACGCAGAAGGTAATGTCTCCTGCGCAGGGTAGAAGGCGCATCACTGTTCCTTCTCTTCTGGTAGTGTTCCTGAGCAACAGCTGGATGAAGTCAACCACTGTCACATAATGAATCCCATGAGTCTTCTTGGCAAAGATTCGTCTGTCTCGCAGGCCGGGTGCACTCATCGTTTCAAAGCTGGTGCTGTTGGCAGCTTTCACTGTCGGCATAGAACTGCCAGCCGCTCACAAGATCTGACACCACAGTCACACGGTTTGGTTGCCCCTGCTGCCCCGGCCTGTTTCATATGAGCCCGGGCCCTTGTCTGCAAGGTCACTGTACAATGAGTGCCTGGGCTGCACGAGGGAAGGTTTGCCTTGTGACGCATGGTGTGACACTGGCAACGGACTCAGTAAGGAGAGCTGCAGCAGGCTCGTGCTTAAGAGGTTAAGGGAGGCGCAGGGAGTCGCATAGCGGCACCACCGCGAGGGCCAGAGGGATATTCCCCACGCATACTCAGATTTGTTTTTGCGCTGCCAAGCCGGGTTGGCGGATTGAGTACAAGCTGGATCCTGTCCTGCAAGTTTCGAGGTGGCATGGATTTTGGTCCATTCCATGGCTCCCTCGCCCCGGTCCTGTCTTTCGACTTGTGGCTGTCATAGGCACGATGCGGTGTAAACTGGTCATGCTGCAGAGCTTCATTGCCTGATGCACATAGTGAAGCTCAGTTCTTCCTTGCAGGCATTTGCGATGCTTGCAGCGTCCCTGCCCTTCTGGTGATTCATTGAGCTTGTATGCCTTCAGTTGACCAAGCTACATCGCACCAGGTCATCGGGACTACCAGGTTGATTCAGATAACGTCAGCTGCATTTGGAGCGCTGCTGGTACCGTTCCATACGGTTACTTTGCTGCCTATTGAGGCCGGTTGGGAAATGCCAGATTCGAACAGTATTTCTCACTCATCCGAATGAAAGTTTTGTTCTTGCGCCCCTGTCCAGTCCTTGAACAGCTCCATTTCGGTCATCAACTGGTTGGGGCTGGTTCTCTGCGTCACATCCGCAGTCATGTACTTCAAGGCGCAGCACACAGAGTGACAAAGATCGTCCTGGCATCCAGCGGCTGCACAGTCTTCTCACCTCGTGCTGAAGTCTGTTGCTGCCGCACGAGGCGCGGCAGAGCACTGCAGAACACCCTGCAGGTTCGAGCGGAGCTTCTGTTGAATCGAAGTTGTTCATGCAGATGCCGAAAGCACCGAGACCTTTGTGCTTCTGCAGGCTACTCCACACTGCCGCCTCATTAGATTGCCGAAAACCAGACTTGGTGGCTCGCTTTGTTGCAACAGTGCTCCGCCGCACTCCAGTCCTGTGCCACCACATCCTTTCAAATGCTCGTGTGAACACTTGACGTTATCTTGACTCGGCAACGGGCTTTCTGGCTTACATTGACCTGGTAGCATGCCCAGCAGTCTGTGGTCTACAACAAACATCGAACACCTGGCCAATCAACAGCCGCAGGCTGAAGCATGCTGCAGCCATTAGCTGGCAAAAGGAAAGGTAATAAAGTGTTTGTTAGTTTCATAGTGCTCAGTTCGCAACTCGCATCTGCGAATGCGCCGCTTTTGAAAGCACTTCAGAAACTGCGAGTTGCATGGGGTCCGACACAGGCCACGCTACTCATCGGGACATGCACCTTCGGCCTCCCTTGCATGTGCCCCTGCCTGAATTGGAGGATATGTCCAGAGCAGCGTGGCTTTGCTGCAGTCGAAATCCTCCAGGCCAGATGCTTTGCAAGACCATGGCACCGTGCTATCCCAGGTTTCGCACACTCGGACCCGAGGATGAAGAGGATCTGAAAAATGACGAAAATTGCGAATGTTCGCCGAAATTTATGGTGCAGGAGGATGATCCTCGCAAGCACGACTGCAAGGGCCGGCTGGATCAACGGGAGGCCCCGGTGTTCTGGTTCTGCCGTCTTGCAACCAGCAATCTCGTGGGAACGTCTCAGGCCGTCTTTAACTTCAAGCAGCAAAAGCTGCAGACAGATATGGAGATGCACCGTGCTGAAATTTAGTTGCCGCTGTTGGGGCAACGAGTTCGCCAGTTTGTATGACTTGCAAGGTGGTTCATGGAGGCCGTTCCCGAAATCTTCGGCGCGTCTGACTCCGACGACCTTGACGAGTCTTTGCAGGAAGATGCACAGGCGGAGAGGGTAGGGGCGGCTTCCAGACGTCTGAGGTTTCTGCATGCAGAGATGTTTCTTTCTTGTCGCACAGGCCGAAATTATTGAGAAGATTTGCTCTACAGGAGACTGTGAGGCTGCGATCTGACGCGGCGTTCGAGATCTTTGGCGGACTCACTGTAAGCGTTCTGCAGGCAATGCGACAGACTCTGCTCGACTGGTTAGCTCAATGTCCAGATCCGCACAGGCGGAGCTGGAATCCCGAGGGCTCATGTCGTGGGATGGGCTGTCCCAGGGTTGGTGCCAACCCCCTTCTCTTGATTCTGCTCTACAGAGGCGAGCTATTCATATCGTCACTATTGAAAACATGGTGGGCGGGCAAGAGCGTGCAAGGGCGGGCGCAAGAGCGTGCAAGGGCAGTAATATGGCTATATATCACTATATAACAGAGCCTTCCGCATCGTGCAAATTAGATATTGGAACCCTTTCTTTCCTAAGCCTCCAGCCCGAAACCAAAGCACTTGCGATGCCCGATGGGTCATGTTCTGGTATTCAGGATACCGAAGGTCATGATCATACCAGCTGCGGGTATGAAAAACTCGAGCGTGCGCAAGAGAGCGCAAGGGCGGGCTCATGCGGTATTGAATGGTCACTCATCGGTACCATCCTATCGACACCCAATTGCACGGGCTCCCTGGATAGATTGCAGTGGTAGTGACAGGTGTCACGGTGTGGCAGTTCTGAATATGGAGTTATCTGTATTTCAACGAACCCCCTTCGCGGGATGGCAATGCACAACAAGCAGATGAACAGCTGTAGGCGCGATGACTTTGTGGGCAAAGCTGTTTCAATGGCGCTGAAGGCGCATTGCACTGCTCCCGTGCTGGTGATGCATGCACATCCTCGCTGCGAGACACTCTTGCAGGTCAATATGGCCGGAAGATCACAGAAATGACCGTGCTCCTGCCTGTTTGGCAGATCTATCTACAGTTACTCGTTTCTGGCATCGAAAGGCCACTGCAGCTGATGCCATAAGTCCTAGTTTCCTGATGTGTGTGTGCGACAAACCGCCGCAGCCACGACGGAGTAAAAAGGCATGTTTATCTATCTCGGCTCCTATCTTGTCCATGCCGTCTATGCAGCTGCATCAGATCCGTGGGACTTTCATCCGCGAGCTCAAGAACCAAAGCATGGTCACAGTAGGGAAGTACTCGCATTGTGTGCCGGTGCGGATTGTCACGACAAACACCAGCACCCATGTTGACCATGACATGTCATCTGCAAGACAGACTAGCTGAAAGCTGAGCATTTGAGTATGCCAGCCTGCCACATACGTCCATGACGCAGCCAGACGACTCGCTATCTTGCAAGACTCAAGCTGACAGGACTACCGTAGCCAATTGCTTTTCATGGCAGATGGAGACTATGATCTATGGGATACACTGAATCTTCAACGCGGAGCTTCGGTTGACGAGGCTCGGACACGACCTGACACCACCCTGCCCTGTGATGGACAAGAGTCTGCAACAAAATGATGCTGTGTTAGCAGAGGTTCGTGTGGCCTTCCGGGAGCTTTCTCGTCTCTACCATCCGGACAAGCATGTTCTTGCTGGTGAAGGAGTGCACCGAAGCTGTTCCTTGAGTTGCTTGACACTCGAGATCCAACACTGCAGCAATGAGTGGCATGGGCTTCAGTTCTGTGATCATAGAGGTGAGAATGCAGCCTTCGTCAGAGCCTCCTGCTCAGCGCGGGCAGCATGCGTTCAGTGCAGTCTCGCCAGAGCCTTACAACTTTCGAAGATTGAACCAGTGCCAGGTGCATCGAGCATATCGGATACTTAGTGACGAGGTGCCAGATCTCAGCCAAGATGCACGCAAGTGTGCAGACCGTGTCATAAAGCCGGCATGAGAAAAGCAAAGCAGCTCTCCGGGGGTTGGGTCCAAGTGAGCAACAGAGAACCTAAGGCGCTGCGTGGCTTCTATGTCGCTTACTCAGCGATCTCAACGTCGTTCCCCCTCCATGATCGTGTGTGCTGACATTCCTGCTGGCTCCTAGGAGAAGTACGGCCTGTCCGGCGTGAGACTCGCAGAAAGTCTGTCGGACGATGACGGCGTCGATCATGGAGAAGGTGCTTTCGGGTCACCTCGAGAAGCGAGCGGCGAGCGGATCATGGTGGTGCAGGTGCCATCAGTGTGCCTGACGACCGGCTGAAGGACGACCCACAGTGCCTTGTGTTGTTTTGGGCATGTCAGGGGATGAATTCATATCGCAAGGGCCTACAGCCCGTAGAGGCCTCGAAATTAAGCAGAGTGTGGATGTTATGCAAGGCCAAGATGGGGAAGAGATCGGCTGAAAAAGAGAGCAGGAGTGGAGATATCCGGGAAGATCAATGTTCTGGCCGCCATCGGTTTAATGTGTTAGATACTCGCTGACACCCGCATAGTGACAACAAGCACGTTCAAACAGATACCGAGCACTGAGGACGCCGGCATCGACGGCAAAATAGTTGCAGGCAGGAGAACAGAGGAAACAAATGTCTAGAGACCTGCATCACGGCCAGAACTTATGCTTCTGGCCAGCTTTTCGCACGCGTGAGGGTCTCTAGGGAAAGTTCGCTACTTTACACCGAAAAAACGCTCCTCCAGAACCCGATGTCCAGTTCCCAAACCCATTGTTGTTCGTTCCGGCCTCACTGTGGCTATTGTTTTCTATTCTCGAAAGGGATGCCCACCGAAATCCCAACGCTAGGACCTTGAGTCACGAGTGCAGCGGCTCGTGCGAAAGCACGAGGACAGGAGTTTGTGCCAGCTGATTATCGACACTGTGCAAATTCTAAGTGCTCTTAGCAAGCTCTATGCTTCGAATCAGGAGCTCCGAGCACAGAGACTGCTGAGTCTCAACGGTCCGGCCCCTTTGTGAGCCGCGCGAAACCCACAGCTAAACCTTCTCATGCTTTTGGTCAGGTTCCTTCGTGCTATCGACCGCTGCAACTGCCAAGCCGGGCGCGCCTTTGAAACGTTGACGTCTTAGCGAGATGCTGGTGTCATGGCAAACAAGCCGTAGCCATCATCGGCAGTACAACCAGGTCGCTTTCGCTTGCAGTACAGCGCGCTCTCGCACTCGGTGCAGATTCACTTGGCAGCCGCTGACCCAGCAAAGGTCAGAGGTCCCAAGTGTTTGGTTGTGTACAGGTGCCAAACTTCTCGTTGAAGTGTCTAAGGAGCGCTTTCGCCTGTCGGTGGGCTGCGTCAGAGCCTTAATCACTGTGGGCGTGAGATTGTGGCCATAACTCGTGCACGCGATTGCACACGAACCAGGCCTCGCATGTTCAGTCAAGCAGCGGCGCCGGAGCAGCAAAGCTTTTGCTGGCTGCAAATGTCACGGCGATCGTCTCACACTGCACAGTCGGCGGGGTCACATGCTTTGGAGTCGATTAGAGACTTCGCCTCGAGTCGAGGTCGCGCCGGGCACCAATCTGCGAGCTTCTTGCAACGTGGCATGCTTACGACTGCTTCTGACAGAAGCAACGACAAGATATGTCAGTCGGACTGCCCACCGACCGATGCTGATGCTGTGATCTGTCCGGTGAGGTGACAGGCTCGACACCCGATGCCGAGCTGTCGATTGTTCGATCTTTGTCTCCACATTGCATAGACGGTTCCTCAGATCCGCAAAGTGCAGTACAGTCCTTGTGGCATGTCAAGTTTAGACAGGTCCGGCAACAGCTGGGCTATTCGAGAGACGGACGCTACCTTGCTCTGAACGTCAGCCCGTGGTTGACTCGTGCCTTGGATGCATTCGATCTGTGTGGAGACGTCGGCTGTAGATAATACCATGAGGCACGCTGCGGGGAGGCGCAGAGCGCGTTGTGGCATCATGTGGCATCCGGCTGTAGAGACCTGCACAGGGTTGACTGGAACTTTGTCGTCTGAGTGCTGCACTGAGAGCACTTGGAAAGCTGCTTATAGCTGACTAGCTGCACTTGCACCGAGTCCCAGCTTGGGCTTCAACCTAGTGAAGACCAGCCTCTCGTGTGGTCACAGTGCCGTTGCCACAGTGCGGTCGCATTCAGATCTCTGCTGGGCGTGAGAAGCATTACGAAAGGCCAAGATGTTTGTTGATCTGCAGCCTGGAGCTGGCGAAGTCGGCAGCGAGCCAAGCACGGACGTAGGGCGGAACTCCAGGTCCTGAGGCAGCCAGCACAGCAACATGACGAAGCCTCGCAGAACTCGAGCCATGCAAGCCTGTCCGTGGTCAAACAGCATAAACATGCGGCGAGGGCAGGCCGAGCCTGAATATTTTGCATGATGCGGAAGTTGACGAAAGTCCAGAGTCTTGAAAACGAAGCCGCCCAAAGGGTGCATCAAGTCGGTGTGTTACTGTGCCACTGGGCTCCTAGGCTGCACCTTCAAGTACAAGCCTGTGAAAGGCGAGGTGCCTGGCGACTGGGACTCTGGTCAGCCTTGTCCCGACGAGGTTTTTCCATGAAGGTTTCGCCCACACTTTCCCGACAGGGTGCAGCAGTGCAGTTGATCTGCACGAAGGCCTTCTGAGCTCTGCTGTCTCTTTTGGGTCCCTGCCTTTCCGTGTGCCGATGCCAGGCAAGCGCCGACGCGCTGACGAAGCTTCACTGGTCCCTGCAGGCCACGAAGAGACACGGCCGACCCCGCTTCCGCCGCGTCAGCAATTGTTGGGATCTTGGCAGGTTCGAGCCCATGGCCTGGCTCTGCGACTGACGCTCTGCAGGTGAAGCGAATCGCTCTGTCAGTGCTTCCTCGCTCCGGTGACTTCTCAGGTGCGGCCTGCGTTTTGTGTTTCCGCTGGAGCTGTGGTCTGAGGCCGTTAAAGATGGTCGAACTGCTATTCGGAGTGCTGGATCTTCTCGTCATCTGACCAGGCGTCTGGTCCAGTCCCAGCTGCTGAGCTTGGCTTGGCGATGTTGCTTTGGGCTGTGATGGCCTCAACACTCGGAGCTCAGAGCGCGGCACCGCCGCAGCACGCTGTGTTCAGCTGTGGAAGTGGTCACCCAGATGTATGAGGCCCCGCCCTTCGTGCTGCGGCTACTGCATACCAGTGTTGCGCTGATCTCCGCGCAGTTTTCCAAAGCGGGTGCCTGAATGAATCAGTTCGTGCCACGCTTTGCTTGCATTGTCGTGATCCTCGTCGCGATGAATGGCATCAGTGGCATCATGAAGTCCTAGTCCGAGCTTGAATGGAGCTCCGGCAGAAATCACTTGTATGAGGGCACGCATGATTTGTAGCTTGTAGTGGAATCATTCGAGCCAAAGCCAGGACAATTCGTGACACAACGAATCATCAAAGGCATGTTTACATGCAAAGCAGTTAAGCCAGATACTCAAATTTCAGAAGTTAATCTTGTTGCTCAGTGTCATGGGGCTGTCGGAAGCAGCCAGTAGCGGTTGGGGAGCCAATCGGTCCGGCATGTCAAGTGGTTGAGTTGAAGGGCTGCCCAGCGGTGCGGTGGACGCCCACTAGTCTCACGCCAAAACATTGGGAACAGATCATGCAACTGTTGCTACTGCAGCATGTCTGTGGCCTTCCCCAAAAAGCCGACGCAGGTTTCGGTGTTGAGCCAACTCGTCGAAAAAGTCGCGCGTCGCCAGTCCGGACAAAACCCTCGAAAGCGATTCAACTAAAGCAGAGCATGCACGATGGCTATTTCTTTCATTAGCACTGACCAATCGTGATTGCAAATAAAGGAAGACCCCACCGGGCTCCGCAAGCCGGACCCGGGAACGCGTTTCCTTCTGGGAGGTCAGATTGGAAAAGCAGGACTCGGAACACGGGTCCATCCGCATACGTCGCATCCTGTATAGGCGACATACACACAGCAGCATAGCTGCATCCAGCTCGCGCAGTAGGTCGAGTAACGGCACGGCATGGCTAGGCTCGTCAGATGAGAAGTTGGCACAGAAACAGAAGTGCACGGGCACGGAACCGATCAGGCTTCGGGAGCACTCATAGAAGGACAAGATTGTAGATTGAAAATGCCTTCGAGTCTCGTATGTTTTTCTCAAAGTATGCCTTGAGCCGCAGCCGCAGACAGCTTGGAGAGCTGCTCGGCCATTTTGTTTGGTCGTGGGAAATTACACAAGCCCTAAAACCCATGAACGTAAAAGAACGTACGGTTTAAGGCTTGCTACTGCTTTGGTTATGTTCAGGTGTTGAAAGTTTTTTGTTTCTGTGCAATTCGCTGTTTTTCTTGCCATTCGACACTTTGGCTTAGGTCTTGCGTAATGTTTGTTATGCCGCTGTTGTTAGGTTCAGGTGTAGACTAATTCGTTTCTTCCGCTGCGCAATTTGTCCACTTGCCACTGGAGTAACTTTTGAAATCTTTTGAAAAATTGAAACTGATTTCGCCTGAGTGCCTTTGCGCAAGCTTGACTTATGCTGCTCTCCTGCTACGATTCGTGCCTCTAACAATTATTGCTAATCTCTTCACATCGGAGTCACGTGATCCCACGCGCAGAAGCTCGACAAAGTCCACCAACAGAACAATCTGAAACACCAAGTGTCGGCAAGCCTGAAAAGGCTCACAACCAAAGCGCTGCCGAGTGCAGTTGTGGAAACGCTTCATTGGCAAATAAATATGTCTGCGAAACCCTTTGGCTGTTGTTTGCAGCTTTGTTGTGCCGTCAATCTGATGCTGTGCCGTTATGCTTACGAGTTAGACTGGGCTGATGCGACCGCATCAGGCTTTTGCCGCGCCGCAGAAGGACGAGCCACCTGCGAGCTCAGAGGAAGATGCTCACAAGGCCCGGCGGTTGTTGGCCAATAGTAGCGGCTAGCGAATTCAAAAGACACTGTTGACACAAGCTCCGTTCTGTCGTGGCAAGGCGGAAGCATTCCGACAACGAGCTTTCTTGACTGGTGAGGCTGCGCGTCGGCGGAAGGAGGAGGAGGAAACAACGTGCTGCATGTGCATGTAGCTGAGTGTTCGATGCGAACGTACTGCGTGAAGGCCTTGTGGGCTTTCACTGACGGCAGGATGTGAACGGTCTGGTCATATTGTCTGCGCATTACGGCTCGAAGGCTGCGATGCAGAATGGCTTGCCCCGCTCCAAGTTTGGCTTTCAAGGCAGCTGAACAAGGGTGGTTTGCTAACCTGGAATGTTTTAGGAAGCATGGCTTGTCGGAGGCCAAAGGCGTGATTGACCGTGCCTCAGAGCCCACATGAAACGCTGCACACCTGACGAGAATGAAAGATAATGAAAGGACGTCACGAACTGCCTCATGGCCAAAGTGCGACATTCACAGCTGCAAATCAGCGCGGCTGCCTCAGCATGGCAGACGGCATGGATATGCACGGCGATGGCACGAACCTTAAAGGACGTAGCCGTAGCTTCGCCCTTTGCCTGTGCCAGAGCGCTCCGAAGTCGACGCTCCTGGGCTTTGGCCGGCCGGAGGCGCCGTTAGAGCTGACGCGATGATTTGCAGTGTTTCCATGTGTGAGTTTCTTCTTCAGCGCTTCGAGCGCAAGGAGGACGGAGCAGACCCTGTCCTGCACATCAGCTACAGGTTCGGAGGCGCAGCTCCCCAGCTGAAGGGTAGGCAAACCATTGTCCCACAGTCTCCGTTTCTGCAAGTCGAGCTCGGCGAAGTAGTCATAGCCATGAGTACCTTGCACAGCAATCTAATCGAACAGGGAGCTTCAGGGGGGGCGATCGAATGTCCAGGGTTTGTCCTTGGCACGATGGCATGGAAACGGGAACGGGAGGGCAAGCACAGTCGCATACAGAATCCTGACAGCTTGCACGACATTCGAGCTCCTTGGCAATGGAATGTTGCAGAGCGGAGGATTTCCGAGCCTCCTTCTCAAGAATCACCGGTCTCCTGAGTGTTCTGCTTTTGTGCCTTTGATGTCGACTCGTGCCAGGCGCGGACTTCGGTCGCAGCTTCGGGGAGCACGATGTCGTGCTACTGCCATGAGTAAATGAATGGCCACAGAGAGACAGAGACAAAGAGAGAGAGAGAGAGAGAGGCGTGCCCTCAAGCCTGGAGAAAGAAAGAGCAGCTGACGCGACGTCCATCTGGCTGTGCGGGAGAGAGAGAGAGAGAGAGAGAGAGAGAGAGAGAAGAGCAAAGCGACCTTGGTACCGGTGCGCTTTCGAGCGCGGGCAGGGGTGGCACCCTGCTTTGTCCGATTGAAAGCAAGAAGAGCAAAGCAAACAGAGAAAGATAGAGAGAGAGAGAGAGAGAAGAGCAAAGCAAACAGAGAAAGATAGAGAGAGAGAGAGAACAAAATAATGATAAGAATTGATAAGACAAAGAAATCAGAAGTAAGAGCGGGCAATCTCTTTATAGGTTGATAGGAATAGTGTACATACGCACTTCGAACAGTCGCGTCTACACACGGAATGGCTGGCCTGGTTGTGATGTCACTGATGGGTGTCTCCAGCGGGTGCTTCTGGAATCGAGTCTCTACATGTTGAAATGGTGGTTTTGATGTGTTGAGATGCCACGGATGTGTTTCTCGAGAGGGTGCTTCTGGAATCGAAGAATGGCTGGTTTTGATGCCACTGACCGGTGTCTGGAGCACATGCTTGTGGAATTGAGGGTGTGAACCTGAAACTGCTGAAGCTGATGCTGCACAGGGCTTCGATTCATGCGACAGCGACAAGCCTAGGGCCTAGATGGCAAGGAAAGGCACTTGAAGCGCAAGCGTATCTTTAGCATAACTGAGGTGTATTCTCGCATATTCTCGCCACTGATGTGTAATTCTCTGAAAAGTGAGATAAATCTGACTCATGTAGATACATTGATTGGTTGACTGAGTGCATCACTGACTGGCTCACTGAGCGGCCGAATGACTGATAACTCCTGATAACTAGGTAGATAAGACTAGATAGATGGGCAGATCGAAAGATCGATAGATCGATGGATGGGTAGAAGAAAGTGGAGTATGGTACCGAACGCTGCTTAAGTACAAGCACTCAGGGGGCCCCCAGAGTGACGCACGAATTGCAAAAGCAACCAGCAATGATGCAGGCATGCTGGTCGGGATCAAAACCATTTAGGTTGACTCCACGAGTCCATAATACAGGCTCGTGTATCGTCGAGAGGACTGGGATCTCAGACGGGCAAGGTAGTACGTTAAGCTGCAGGGAGGGGGGGGCAGAAGCACAGAAGAATGTACGCCCACTCGTTGTTCATGTCTTGTTCTCCTGTCACTCCTGTCTCCACCTTAATGCATACAGTGCTGATGACATGTTGCGGGTGGGCGCACGCAGCCCAGCATGTGTCAGTGCTGTCAAGCAGAAGAGCAGTTGTAGATGCTGGCACAGAAATTGAGAGGAAGGGGAAGGCAGGCCAGCGAGAGAGGAGTACTCCCGCGGGACCATCATCACGAGGATTTTGTACGAGCTTGGATCCTCTGTGGGCCTACGGAGTCTCTGCAGCATTGGCTTGTAGACAACCAACCCGTGTCACAATCTGTCTAATGCTCTTGAGATGATGACAATCCGCTTGCGGAAGAACTGGTGATCGTGCCGTTATCACGAGGCACAGCAGCTGGATTCCCAACAGCACGCAGGGCAATGTATCAGTATAGCAGCAAAGAGTTGGTTTAGCGCATTTCGGGCCGGCAATGGTGTCCTGACTCCTGATGCCCAGGCCAGGGCAGGGCCGAATTTGAAGTCACGTTGGCTTTTGCACCACTCCAGGAAGAGATGGGGGAGCAGTTCCGTTGGAATCCATCTGTGGCCAACTTGGTGTTTGCAGCTGACAATGCTTTTGTAACGAGATAGCAAGCGATGTTGGCATGGCATGTTCTAGAGGAAGACCGGATGGGGCAGATGCTCCTACAGGCGGGGCACTTAGGAATGGAGTGTGCTGGCCACAAGTGCCTTTGTTGTCAGGCCGTCTACATGGAGGATCAGGCAGCTGCAGGGTAGCGGCATCACTCTGCCACCAGCCAATTCTTGATGCCTTATGTTCTCTGCGCACAATTGTACAGGTGACCCTGGAGCACCTGATCAAGCAGAAGGTGCAGTCACCTAGCATGATGCACGTACACTACCCCAGTGCCACTGTTCGAATCGAGAGGCAAATTTGGAATCCAGAGCCGCGGCCCTGATACTACCAGAGATTGCATGGGTATGTGCAGACAAATGTCAGCGCTGCAGAATCCTGCGATCTAACGCGAGGATGAGACGGGAGCCACGGCGTTGCACATAGCCGGAAGCTGAACTTGTCCAGAGGCATCCGATGCCAGCCTTGGTTGTGGCGAGGCAACCACACGAAACATGGCCAGCACTGTCTCCTGGCTTCTCCGCCACAGGGCCTCTTGGCATGAAAAACGTTCCCCTTCCGCATCTGATCGGGGGACCGGGCTTGGAGGCTGACTGCTTTGCGAAAGATGGTCGCTTGTTTGCAAAGAATCAAAACTGAGCCGTTGCTGGCAGCCCTGAGCCATCCTGAGCCCTGCATGTGCAGGCGACGGCTACCACGCCTTGACATGGGCCAGCGCCTCGATGCAGCACGGTACGGCGACTCTTTGCAGTGCGATCGAAAGAAATGTGAGGCCTGCATCAAGGGCCATCTGCAGATCGTCAAGATCCTGCTCGAGGCATAGAAAACCGAAAGTCCGTGCCGAGGAGAGGCAAATGCAAATACCAGGCTCGGGCCAGCATCGAAGAAGCTGCCAGCTCCAGTGGCAAGACGCCGCCGCTTGCCCTCAGTGTAGAGCGACTAAGATCCCCGCTTGCCATGGCCTCAAGGTTGTCACTGGCTGCCGAGCGTGGACACATGGAAGTGGTGGAAGAGTTACTGGCAAAGCAGGCGTCCGAAGAGTGCAGCCCAAAACCGTCGTTTGCATTAACGTGGTTCAGAGGCTCGGCTCGACCAGACTAACACAGACGGAAGCACCCCACTCCATGCCGCAGCTCATCAGCTGCTCAGCTGCAACGGACTAGACAACAAAATTCTGCATCGCTGGAAAATTCTCACGCCTGTGGCCAGGTGTGAAGTGGAAGTCGTTGCGCGCCTTCTCTCCCGGACACCAAACAGGGTCAGATATCAAATCCAGATGAAGATCTACTAGGCCTGGGCATCTCCTTTGTTGGCTTGCTTGTCTTTCTTCAGGAAGTCACTTGTGAACGTTGCAGACAACGAGGGTTGGACCCCGCTGATGTGCCCTGCAGCAACGACGTGCGTTTGCATGATTGCCCCGATGGGCCGGCAAAGAGTGCTGGGCCATGCCAGGTATGCAGTGAACTCCCCTGCTGCCGCATCAGACAGCGAGGGTCTCAGGAACAGATTGTAAGCCTGAAATGCATGAAGACGTGACAAGCTTCGCGGTCGTGAGGTGTGAGGCCAGAGCTCAGCGAGCGAAAGGTCTACGTGCCCAGACGAAGATCACAACCTTATGGTGTCGATCAAACACTCGACCAAGGTTCACATTGAAGGGGCGATTGGAAGAAAGTCCACGTGCTGCTCCAAGGGGCTGCATGCATGCACACGCACACGCGCACACACACACACACACACACATGCAAAGGAGACGGAGAGGGAGAGAGTATTCGGCAAAGAATGCTTGTGCGGTCTGCAAACGACTGATCTATTTCGGAAATGGGGGGAATGTACGGTGCATCCTGCAAGCATTCCCATCGGAAGCCTATGTCAGTGAGTCAGCGTACTCTTTATGGCGTTAGCTTATGGGCCGTTGTCATGCATTAGGAGCACCCACGGCGCGCACCTTGCATGACATTTACTTTGGACGTCATGCGCGCGTAGCTTTTTGGTTTAAGCATGACCGCGTAGGCGGAGTAGGGTAGGATGCCCGGGCCCTGGTTCCTCCCTAGAGAGGACCAGGGCGCATGGAACGCCCTGCCCGCTGCGCGCGGAGACTATGTCGAACTAAAGCTCCTCGATTCCTCACGCCACCCTCAGGGGATGGGTTTGGTGAGGATCGAGGAGCGTGAGAACCCCACACGATATGGGGAATGGCTTACAGGTACCATCGTTGCGGTGTCCGATGGTTACCTGCAATGGTGGCTGGATGAAGGAGAGGGCTCTACGGAGCAAAGGTGGTTCTCCTTCCACGTCTGTGCCAAATCCCCTGCCACTTGCAGGGGATCAAAAGGGCACCCCGACATGGAGTTCCACTTTGAGTCCCTTCGGAGCATCCCCCTCGCGGAGCTCGGGACCTCTCAACAGCCACCTTGGCTCACCCAACCCGCTGCGGCGGCAGATCTAAAGTGGGAGCTAGATCGCTTGGGTGGCCAGGCACCAGCACCAGCTGCGGCTGAGGCAAAGGGGGGAAGAAAAGAGCGAGAGAAGGGTCTCGCAGCCCCTTCTTGGGGTGCCCCCCCTGGCGCGGAAGCGAAGCCTCCGGGGCTCGCCGCAGAACTCGACGACCTGGCCAGAGATTTGAGGGATCCTGGACAGGGTCGGCGGGATAAGCGGAAGAATCGCCGAGATCGCTCCCCGGAGCGGCGCGCCAAAGAACCCCGTGCGCGGGAGAGGGACACCGGGCCAGCCGCGGAGGCAGAAGCCGCTCTTGAGAAGAAGCGGCGCCGCTGGCTGGACCCGACTGGCCACCAGAGCGTCTCCTCCGAGTCGGAGACCAAGAGGGGCCGGAGTCCCAGACGGCGACGGTCTGAGGAGCAGAGCTCGCCCAAGGAAAAGAAAAAGAAGAAGAAAAAGAAAAGGAGCCGGTCCAGAGAGGCTGGCCGAAAGGCGGACCGAGGGCCCTTTGGAGGAGGAGCCAAGGTCGACCTGGGCGAAGATGGGTCTTCTTCAGACTCGTCTTTTCGCGAAGCCTCCTCGTCTCGCGACCGTCAGCTGCAGCTCCTGGAGTACTCGGAGAAGTACCCGGGGCGGCTGTCGGCTCGTCTTCTGCAGAAGACACGGGACGGGGGGGCGCTGAACTTCGCAGCCCGGGGAGACCCAGCGCCACCGGTGGCGACGAGTTACCTCCTCACGATCATGGTGCCGGAGTACAGGTCAAAGGTGGGAGTTCGCCTTCTTCGGGAACTCAAGACCTTGTGCAAGGCACTGGACCTGGTGGTCGAAGGGGAAGCGCGGCGCGCCGCAGACCTTCTCGCGCAAAGAGTGAAGGCGATCGAAGCGTCACTGGCCGACGATCACTGGCTGAAGGCGCAGTTCCTGGAGCTAGTGCCTCGGGAAGGAAGTCTCCTGATGGAGACAGACGAGGCAGTGATGGCGGCGAGGCAGCTGGCCTTGGAGACCAAGGTGAAGGAAGCAGGCCAGCGGAACTGGGGCCGGGGCAAGGGGCAGTGGTTCGCCCGCCCGGACGAAAGCGAGCCGCCACCGCTCCGGACCACGCCCCCCGAGGGGGAGAAAGGCAAAAAGGGCGAGGGCAAAAAAGGGGCGAAAGGAAAGAAGGGGCAAAAGTAGAGCCCGCTGCGGCGGAGGCGGAAAAAGCCCCAAAGAAGCCCCCGAAGGCCAAGACCGAGAAGAAGGTCAAGAAGGAGGCCAAAGGCGGCAGACCGCCGGATGATGATCCCCCCGGCGATCCTGATGGGGATGGAGATCCTCCTGGAGAATGGGACGAAGATGAAGAAGGGGAGGAAGAGGCCCCGGCGGAGGACCCCACCGTGGAGGCACGGGGTGCGCCCCAGGGCTCAACACCGGCTGCGGCCGAGACTTTGAGTCCAGGACAAGAGGAGGAATGGGATGACGAGTTGTTGGAGGCCCTTGGGGGTCAGTGAAGATGAGGACACCCTGCGCGACTCCTTGGAGCATGCTGCCAAGCATGCGGCGCCGGGGTGGTGGAACCTCAACCACTTGCAGACGGCGGTCCGCCGACTTTTGGGCACCAAGCCCACCTGGGAACAGTTCCTCGAATGGTTCCTGAATGAGGGCAGGCGGTTCCCGACTCCTCTTGGTTCGTTCTTCCGCAGGATGGAGGAGACCGAGGCAGCCCCCCCGGGCGCGGAGCCCACTAGGGAACACGACCTGCTCCCGATCCATGTGGATGACCTCCTCTGGCGGTGGCCAGCACACAGGGCTGATCCAACCACAGCAGTAGTGGAAGTTGAGGGCGTGCAGGGTGGTCTCCAGCACCACCTGGGAACAGGTCTCCACCACCTCTATGTTGCAAGTGGCACCCCGCGACAAGCAGAGGCGGTGAAAGGGATCGCGAAGAGCTGCGCTGGTTGCTTGGGGCGCGGCTTGCCATTGGGAGGACCGGCCGAGGCCGAGAAGATCCTCTCAAGTCGCTCCCGCGACTATGAAGGCAACATGGTGGAGCGAGTGGGGGAGATCCAAGCAGATCTCGTGATCGGAGCCTGGCCCAACGTTGGTGAGGCGGCGGTCGTTAGCGTCACGGACTTCTTGACCGGTGACGCCCTCAATGCGGTGATCTCGCCGAGGCTTCACTTCAAGAGGGGAAGCGACCAGCCGAGGACCTCCAAGAAGGGCAAGGTCCACGCCTCCCAAGAGGAATGGAACAAGGTCGTCTCGGCAGCCTACCAGCGCGGTATGATGGCGCCAGTTGACGAGAGCGCTGTCCCTCGCGATGCGCAAGGCCACCTGATCACTAATGGCGCCGGGGCCGTGGAGAAGAGGAAGCTGGTCGGCGGCAAGGAAGTCACGATGCAGAGGTTCATCAGCAACTTCGTGCCGATCAATGAATACCTGGAGGCCCTTCCAGGAGACCAGGACTTCCTCCCTTACGTGGCCCAGCTGGGCCTGCTGCTCTTGGATGACAGCCAGACTCTTATGATAGAGTCGGAGGATCTCACCTCGGCCTTCAACCTGTTCCGCATGCCGGACGCCTGGCTGCCCTACTTCTCTTACGCCAAGAAGGTGCCAGGCCACCTGCTGGGCTCCAACGAGGAGTGGGTCAGGCCGGGGCTGCGAGTCATCCCAATGGGATGGAGCTCCGCTGTCACCATCATGCAAGCGGTGCTCAGGAACCTTGTGTTCGACAAGGCAGGAGTACCGGCCAGCATGGAGATCTCGAAGGTCAAGGAAATACCCGCTGAGGGCGGAGCCGTGCTTTACCTTGACTCCTTCGACCAGGTGCGGATGGTTGACACCACGCTGCGTGCAGTAGAAGAAGGTGTCGCCAGCCCGGAGCATGAGCGTTTTAGGGCTGCCTGCAAAGAGAGAGGGCTTCCTCTCAACGCCTCCAAGTCCCTCGCCGGAGCTCTCCGTGGAGGCATTCAAGGAGGGGTGCTTGATGGAGACAAGGGAACGATCGCAGTTGGGAGCGACAAAGCCGAGAAGCTGGTCCTGGCCACTTTGGGCCTCCTGGCTTCCTCCTCCTGGTCGGAAGCTGCCTTGAGGAGGTGGGCTGGGATCGCAACCTTTGTGGCCGCTTTCCGGAGGCCGCTCTTCGCAGTGTTCCAGGAGATCTTCCCTCTGATCGAAAGAGCCAAGGAGGGGGCAGTGGACCCAGACCCCCAGGTCATCGATGAGATGCTGACCTTCGTGTTCCTTCTCCCCTTGGCTTCCACCTCCTTGAGGGCCAGAGTGTCTGGGGAGATCTCCTGCTCCGACGCATCCCTTTGGGGAGGAGGCGCTGCCGTGGCTCAGACGGCAAGGAGGCCTACTGTGGCACCAGTGGAAGAGGATGAGCCCGGGATCTGTGCCCGCTGCGGCGGAGAAGAATCTTGGGGCTCACACGGCCTCTTTTACCCCTGTCCGGCTTCATGTGGGAGATCATTTTGCTCCACTTGGTGCATTGCCGAGCATAGAGAACACAGGTGTTCCAGAGGCAACCTCTCACTGAGGCCATGGCCCTTAACAAGGTGGCCGTGCTCCCCGCCTTTGGGCCTAATGTCGATGACAGGGATGATTTTTGGAGCCCAGGTGGAAAAGAGAAGCTAGAGAGAATGGAGGCGGACCCACTGGTTGCGGCCAAGTTTTGGAGTCCGCCCTTCGCCACCTTTGGGCTCGGCCGTGGCGAACAAGTGCAGCTGCAGAATGGGAGATGGGTGGAAGCCCCGCCTGCCCTGAGATCAGGAGGGCACCTCACTGGTGTGGCCGGTCTCTCCAAGGCCGCCGCCTTTGAAGTGAGAAGGGCAAACACCCTGGCCCTGAGGGCTCTGAAGTCCCTTTCCCGAGCGGTGGAAGAGAACTTCCTCTGCTTTGTCTGCCAGCCCTGGGACTCCTACCTCTGGTTCTTCTTGGAGGCAGAAGAGCTAAGGGAGACAAGAGGGATTCTTTCCACCTCGTTTCCCTTGTGCTGCTTTGGTGGGCCCAAGCGATGGGTGGAGCTCCTGCACAACTCCCCGGAGGTCCACAAAGCTTTGCACCGGCCCGCGTGCCGAGACCACGAAGAGGAGCACAAGGCCTGGTACGACAGCACAGGTCGGATTCGATTCGCCTGTTGCGAGGAGCTCCGCCTCCCAGGGGACCTGTGCGACGCCTTGGCGTTGGCGATCAAGAGGGATCTGGCTGAGATCTCCCCGCTCATCCCAGGCAAGCTCACCGATCGCACCATGGAGTGGCAGCTGATGGCACAGCTACGGGGTGCTTCCTCAAGCCTCAGAACACCCGCCGCGGCGGAGGCAGCGTCTGAGGTGATTGCTCCCATTGCCAGGGAGATCTTGGAAGATCCACTGGAGCATCTACGGAGGATGCTGAGCCGGGGGCACTATCGTGGTACAGAGGTTCGGCTCATGGCTCCAAGCGAGCCAGACAACCTCAAAATGGTGCCCTACCCGGCGCACCTTTGGAGGTGGCGCAACACGTTGTCCTTTGCCTGGCACAACGAGGACAACATCACCACGCTGGAGATGTTGGCAGCTCTAGCGGAGATCCGACGCCGTGCGCGGCAGTTGAATACACAGGGGACAAGGTTCTTCCACATCCTTGACTCCCAGGTCGTGTATCATATCATGGCGAAAGGCAGGGCACACAGCAAGCGGCTTAATAGATTGGCTCGACGGATGATGGCGGTTCAGCTGGCGGCGCAACTGCAGGCGCTAGCGCTTTGGACCATTTCGGCATGGAATTTTGCCGATACTGCGTCCAGGAGATTTGCTCCTCACCATGGCTCCTAAGCTCCACCTTAGGTTCCAAGGTCTGAACCCCAAATCCCGAGCCAACTACCGCCGTGCCCTGCTCCGCTTTTTTGCCTTTCTTGCAAGGGAGGAATTAGAGCTGCCCAACACGGTGAAAGCCCTTGACTCAGCGCTTGGGGAATTCATGAATGAATCCTTTCAAGAGGGTGACTCACCTGGGTATGCTGGGGCTGCTGTGTCAGCCCTCAAACGTTTCCTCCCCCGACTGAGGTCGAGGCTTTATACTGCCACGCAATTATACTCCAACTGGATGAAAGTTTACAAGCCCTGCAGAGCCACGCCTGTCCCATGGTCCATGGTGCAAGCCATGGCAGGAGCTGCACTTGCAGCTGGTCAGAAAAGGCTTGCAGTGGCACTTCTCACCAGTTTCTCTTTTTCCTTCGCACTGCTGAAATTTACGGGCTGCGGCCCAGAGACGTTTCCTGCCTGCGCTCAGGGCACGTGGTGGTAGCTTTACCACACACCAAAACCTCCCGTGGGAGAGCGCAGAGCGTCTCACTCTTCGACCCTTTTCTATGCCGCGTGCTGCCTGCAGCCATGGCATCGTGGTCAACCGATCAATCTATAATTAACTCTTCGCTGCAAGTTTTTCGGGCAAGATTCCAGAAACTGGTAGTCTTCCTGGGGCTGGAAGAAGGCACCTTCCTCCCCTACGGCCTTCGCCGAGGAGGTGCCACTTTTCACTGGCAAACCTCACAGAACTTTGAAGCTACCATGATTATGGGAAGATGGCAGGATCAAAAAACCTGCCGCATCTACCTGGATGAAGCCCGCGCACTGCTGGTGCAGCAACAGCTTACGGTTTCTGCCCTCCCTCGCCTCCCTCACTTCGTGCAGCAGTGCCGCCAGCTTCTGTTGAAGCCATAACGCTGCGCGAGGAAGGCAATCGCTCTCGCTCACTTTTAGTGGGGAGCGCTTTTGAGTTGGGAGGCGCACCGCGGTGCAGTTTCACCTGTTTCCATGGCCTACCACCCGCGGGTGAGTAAAGGCCTTCATATGCCAGGAGACAGCTGGCCCATGTAGGCCCCCTGGCTTTTCACCCGTGCTGTGGCTTGTCCACGGTGCGCTGATCATGACCGCTGCCTCGGTCAGAAAAAGTGGTGTTCGCGTGGCACACGAGTCCAATGGGCCGTTGTCATGCATTAGGAGCACCCACGGCGCGCACCTTGCATGACATTTACTTTGGACGTCATGCGCGCGTAGCTTTTTGGTTTCCCGCCCGTGCCCTCCCCGCACCGCGGTGCAGTAGGGAGGCGCACCGCGGTGCAGTTTCACCTGTTTCCATGGCCTACCACCCGCGGGTGAGTAAAGGCCTTCATATGCCAGGAGACAGCTGGCCCATGTAGGCCCCCTGGCTTTTCACCCGTGCTGTGGCTTGTCCACGGTGCGCTGATCATGACCGCTGCCTCGGTCAGAAAAAGTGGTGTTCGCGTGGCACACGAGTCCAAAAATTTGAATTACTTTCGTTCCTCACTCCCCTTATACGGGGGACCTGACGGTCCCCAATGCCGGGGAGGGAGAGCGGGAGAGAGAGGGAAAGAACGAGAGAGAGAGACACATCGTATCTGCACTTTAAGCCAATGAATCATCCTAGACTTGCACACCTTCTGGGGAAGAGAAAGAGAGTGCGGGATAGTGCGGGTAAGACCGGGTCAGTCTGGCCGTGTCGAGTGTGTCAGTCAGTCCCTCAGCCCGCCGGTGTCCAATACGCCCGTCCTGCTCCGTAGCTGTGCTGAAGAACAGTGCGACGAAGTCCAAAGGGTGGGTCCGAAATCTGGCTGTGTCCAAGAATCGCTGGCGACATCCGTGGAACAGTCGTGGAACAGAAAGTGTGAGACCTGGATCAGGGAGAGTTGCAAGGAGGGACCTGTAGATATAGGAGTGCGAGTGCGTAGTCTGTGTAGGCCACATGATATCTGAATATACATGTGTACTTGTGCGAGGGTGGGTGGCCGGGTGGGTCGGCGTGTGCACATGTGCGAGCGTGCGAGCGTAACAGTGTGCCTTTGGGCATCTCTCCCTCTCTCCCTCTCTTGTCGTTTCGGTCCGTCCGTGAACAGGCAGCTCCTGTTGCCTTGCTCAACGGAGGAAGCTGTACCATGCATGTGTTACACTTGTTGTGGCAGTGGCCACAGGGAGCCCTGAAAGTTGCTGAGAGAACATCTCACACGCCGTGTTCAACCGCTTTGTCATGGTGCTCATCTCGACAGCGACAACCGGGCAGATGTCTCCAGTGACGGATGTGTGCTCTCCCTGCAAGAGCCTTTTTGAGTATTTCACATCGTGTGCGGAGCCCCCATAGATTTCTGCAGCGTTCTCGAGTGCACAGAGGTTGGAGCTGCTGCTCTTGCATAAGGCGGATGCAAATGTCTTGATCTCAGGATGGGGTGCTCGTGGTGCTCTTGAATCCTCAACTCAAGATGCCTTGTGACGCAGACGTCTTGGAGTTAGGCACAGTCGGTGGACGGCTTTAGCCCCTTGATAATCGTCTGCGCCTATGTGCGCTGCCAAGCTCATACTGCAAGTCTTATCGTGGCGAGGGAATGCTTCCAGTCTGAGGATCGGCCGCATGCCGTGAAACAGCTGCTGGACGCCAAAGCCCAGGTCAACATGGCTACGATGATCCGCAGCCGCATTGCGCACGAGTTTGTTGCACAGAGCTTTTGAGACCGAGGAAGGGTCAGTCGGCGATGCTGATGGCCGCAGTGAATGATTTGCCAGTGGTGGCAAAAGCTTTGATTGCGGGAAGTGCAGACGTCAACCAGGCCTGGACTTCGGCCAAGGATTCGTCTCTGTGCTACAGCTGCTACAGTCGACAGGCCAACGGCAAGGGTGAAAGCCCTCTATCTGTTTCCGAGAAGAACGGCTTCAGAGAGGTTGTTCTTCGCTCAAGTTTGACAGGGCGGGCAGAGAAACGAAGGGCTTTGGACGAAGACGTTCCGTCTTGTGAGTCTCAGGCTGACCTCTTGAAGAGTGCTGGCGCTTTGCCCCCAAAGGGCGGCAAAAAGAAGGGCCGCCACTTAGCACAAAATTGAAGACGAAACGACCCCACTGCCGTCAACCCTCAGCTTCAAAGCATCGTTGGACCAAGGAAAGTAGCACACCAAGCTCGGATGACATGAATTCGCAGCTCACTTTTCACCGATAAAGGGCGATGCTTGCTCATGTAGTCTCGTTTAACAGAGTCGTTGCCGTCATGCAGTTAGACGAATGCCTGCATCGGATAGCTCAAATCAGCCAGCCTTCCAATCGCGAATGCCTGGTGCCGATTCTAAAGCCTTCGTGTCACGGACCAGCTGCGGACATGAAAGCGAACATGAGATGTGTGCCGTGTTCCCAAGCAGATGCCCCGTTCCCAAAACTGATAAGACAACAGACGTTCGACTTGCAAGGTGAGGATCCCCAAACGCGACCTAAACGCAAGGATCATTCAACAGCTCCGAGAAGTGACAGGGGTTGGACCAGTGAGCAGGACTACGTCGATGCGTTCCCGAAACTAGAGAAACAGAGGGCGCCTCTTGGCGATGGCCCTTTGAAACCTCGCGGCCTCAATTGCACCTCCCACCTCTGAGAACCCGCCTGTGTCCCAACGAATACTGTGCATAGCGTCGCTCCAAGCTAGACTTCAGTTCCGCTCGTGCAAACGATCCTGACATGAGAAGCTGAACAACGGCTGCCACGCAGCACGCAATCGGGGCTATGATGCGGTACCGCCTGCTGGCAATCTGGACCGCCTGTGCTGTCGAGCCCTTGGTCTTGCAGGTCCCTCGCAGGAGTTTCATCCGACTCAGGCTGATGTCTGACTTCGAGGACTTGAGTCACGAGAATCTCCTTTCCAAGTGGGTCAAAGGAATTTGGACAGGCCTTCACAACAGCGATGCAGGCGATCCACGTGATCCAGGGAACTGTCTTGAGAGCAAGGCTTACTGCTACCGGCCACCGTGGCACATTACGCGGCCGAGCTACTTCGATAGCGATTTGGATGAGGAGCCACCAAGACGCTACACCTTGCAAGTGGACACGAACAAGTTGCTAGAGATTGCTGGCCCCGCAGGACGCTTGATAGTATCCTGGACAACCGGTGGGCCAAAGCGCTGGACTATTGCGCAGAACCTAGCCCTCTCGATTCGAAGGAACACCCCAGAGCTGGAGCCCATGTTTGTTTTCATCGCATTGGATGCGGATGCAGTCCGACGTGCACAGGACTCCGGCTTCAATGCGGTCTTGAACGATGGCTCCGGCGACCTGCAAGATGATATTTGGAAGATGCGCTGGCTGATTCAGACCACTTGCGTATCCTTGGGCCTTGAGGTTCTTGTGGTTGATTCCGATATTGTTTTTCTCGCAAATCCTTTCCGCCATTTCTTCTTCGATTCGGATGTGGAGGCAATGACAGATCATTTTTTCCCTGCAGAACAGCTTTGGGCGACATGGCTACGACCTGCTGAGCACATCAACACTGGCTTTCTGTTTGTCCGCCCCTCTGCTCGACTGCTGGTGCCGGGGCAGAGCTTGAGCAGAAGGGTGTTTCACAAAGTGTAGATTGTACTCAGAATGTACGCAGCTTCTTTACCGTTACTTGCCATCTGTCCTTTGCGAGGCTTTCCTAGTAGAGTTCATCGACACACACTACCACGGGCACGAGGGTCCCACTCTTCGGGACGGAATGGACCAACGGGTATTCAACAAGTTCGTCATGCACAAGATGGAGAAGAGCCCGCCCGAGGCCGGAAAACAAAAACAGCTGATTTGCCAGAGAGGACACCCGACTACTGGTAGTCGGCACTCATCGTTTCTAGCTCGCCTTGTTCAAGCCATCCTTTGTCATTTCCAGCTTGAGAAGATCGTGGCCCGCAGGTCGTAAGCCGCTATGAGAACATCACCTTCTCAGGCTTGGACTGGCAAGGCAAGACCCGTCGCTTCACTCCTAGAGCGACGTGGGACTTACCAATGGGATCCAGTGACACCATCACCATGCGGATTCTGGATCCTGCGACTTGTCATCACTATCATAAAATGGTTGGCTAGAACTTCAAAACTGAAGAGCTAGCAAGAGGCCATTCATGGAAGATGTCCGATATGGTGCGGTCACGTTTGATTGTAATCCCTGGCAAGGTTTGCATTTCGCACGGAATGAATTACTTCTGGCGCAAGGCGGGGCGGTGGTGCATCGAAATTGCTTCAGACTTTGCAGCGCAAGTTTCACTCACAGTATTTCTTTAGCATTATGTTCATCTGAAGTCTGTAAGGCCTACAAGCTAAAGAGCTGCGATGGGAGTGGGCAGCCTCCAGCTGTTGTTCATGTCAACGGCGTCGATCCCAAGATGTATTTCCTCCGTGCCTGGGCAGTTACTTGATTGTCACCGCTGTGAAGCTCAAGAGGTAGTAGCGGCAGTTCGTCCATGTTCGTGCATTCAGAGGTGACAGAAATCTGTGGTACGTGGACGACTGGGATGACAGGTTCAACGACTCTACATCGTTTCTCGTGTACCGCCATCCAAAGGGCTTGAACCTGTCAGCTGATTTTGAAGTCCTGATTGCCGCTCTCGAGATCGGAGCATACTTTCGGAGACGTGTTGTGCTACCCGACACCATGAACTGCGCAAACAGCCCTGCCTTCTTCATCTACAACCTGAGCGAAACGATGGTTGACGAACCGGGCTGCACATACGACTATTTTGCCCACGCCAATGGCTTGTATGAAGTGTATTCTCGCGTAAAGTCCCCTGGCCGCACCCGCAGTACTCCCGCAGTCCATCCATCGGTCAGGGGTGACAGGAAGAGCATAGATCATATTCTTCAGTCGCACAGGTCGTGCTGGTAGCAGGATGCTTGGAAGTTGGCTGCTGAGGCCCTATGCTATCGAGGCGGGCATTGCTCGAGAGCCGCGCTTCAAGGAACTCTCCATCCAGTCCATCCAGCAGCTGCAGCAAAGCGGAAGCCTTTTGCTGCGAGAGGAGCTGCTCTCGGCCCATGCGGAGCGGAGGGCCGCCTTTCCTTCCGCTCGTGTCCTCGAAGTCGACGACATCCTCCTGCTGCGCGATGGCCTGCGTGCTGGGAGTTTTGGCCTCCGGATGAATCCAGAACACGTCTTCAGCTGTGCATTCCAAGAGCCACTGATTGGTGCAATGGCATGCTTGGATGAACCCTACGTGGAAGAGTTTGGCGTAGAGGCCATGTGCGAAGCGCAAAGCTTCGTAAAGGGATGTGGGCCCGTGGGAATCTGTTGCTGCTGGCCGTTTTGGGGATGGGGTGAGAAGCTGCAGTATTTCACTGGGGTGAAATGGGACTTGCCGTGCAACTGTGGCGTGTCCGTTTGCGAGACCTTCAGCCGCCGTCTGGATTCTGGCAGTGAGAGCTGCTGCCGCCATGCCGGGAGTACATCGCTCTTCCCCGTGACGGACCCGGGAGTCTTCTATTGTGAGACCAACTTCAGCTTCCAGACTGCAAAGAGCCATGAGACGTGAGAGCATCACTCCGTGTGTACTTCCAGCAAGGGTGTACTGTGCACCTGTTTGTTCGAAAGTATTCCAACCTGTTGAAACTGCAGGCTGGTCAGGACCAACCGGAGCAGAGGACCCGAAGCTGGGCGGGGCAACTGCGAACAGTGAGCACTGCTGTTGATGATGAACGCATCGCCCAGGACAGCAACACGTACACATCCCAGGCCCTCGTAGAGTTCGCTGCGAACAAGCGCACCGTGCAGCAGAGCTTCCAGACCTGCAGCACCACGACTCAATCCGTCGCGTGTCATTTCCCCTGCATGTAAATCGACTTCGGCCGACAGGCGCAAGACGTCGCAAGATACTGTAGCTCTCGTAGACGGAATGCTGCCCTCACCAACCACTTTGTTTGTATCTCTTCTTCAACTGGCCCCCAAGGCTTGGATCGATTGCTCCGCAGGGGCGATGCTTTCCGTGAGACCACATTGCGGGAGTGCAAGCCGGCAGCAGTAGCATGCGTAGTTTGTGATACAGATGCAGATTGATGACAGTTCCATTCCACATCCACTTGGGTTTACTCGAAGATTCTAAAGCCCACGAAACCTACGTTGTCGGGGCATTGCTACGACACAGACTCAACCCCACGGGGACGAAAGACCAAGGCAATCTTCAGTTCAGTCAAGAGCTCAGGAGGAATGTTGTGCAGCATGACAAAACAAGGCCTGGCTGCGTCTGCTCCCACATTAGCAAGCTTCACGAGGCTCTTTCCTCCTGAGACGCTCCAAGTGGAGGCAGCTCCGCCAGTGGCTGGTCATCCCCTCAGCTGCATGCACCGTGCAGATCGCACGCGACGTCCTTCCTGTCTCAAGTCACCAAGTTCAGTCTGCACGCTGCAGAAGACACACGCACCATTCTCAGCGACCCACCAAGCAAGCGGTGCCGACTCTGCACCTGAAAAATCTTGGAAAGAGAGCAGCTGCTGTCTTCTTCAACGTCTAACTTGGCACGTTAAAAACAATCAAAGAGCAGCTACTGCTCTTTGCTTCTAAGACTTAGCAAATGTCTTCGCCATGGTAAGAAGAGCCGTTGGAGCCTTTCGCAGAGAGAAATGGCCCTTCACTCCTGGAAGTATGACCGGGACATGGCTGGGGCAGTTCTGGCCGCGCACAACTTCTCTCCTCCCTGGAACTTCCCGACTGTGGAGAAGGTAAGGTGCATCACGGGACATGGTATCTTGACAAAATCCAGCAAACGCCATTTCCCATCCGACATTGCGGAGAATCCGAGATGCCTGCAGCAAGCACCCTTGTGAGCTTGTGAGGCTGCACAGGGCCAGAACCCTACAAAACAGATGCGCAGCAAGCAGAGGACGCAGCAGAGCAGGAGGCCATGCCAGTGCTGATGGTTGCCGTGCTGCTGTAAGCGCTTCCAACTTCGTTCCAGCTTGATGCTCTCTCTGCCAGCAGGCCAAGGAGATTGCGGCCAGAGAGGCCATGCAAGAGTTTGATGAGAAAGGAAATCCAACAGGTCCTCCAGGCTGGCCTTTTGGCATCCGGCCAGAAGACAAAGAAGTCTGGCAGCCCCGCTGCACTGGCATTTGAGCGCAATGTGAGCAAGTACGAGAACTCAGGACTCCGAAAGATGTTGAAGAGCTGA